CCACCAACCCACTTATGCTCATCTCTCTAGTTCCATCTCGAAATGTGAATCCATCCACCCAAGCACGTCCCACCTCAATCCGTAACCTCCGGCGGCTTCCCAACAGGTTGTATCATTTTCTATAAAGCACACATACACACATTAGCCTCAGTCCTCGATCCCAAGCCCCCCATCTCAACACCAATATCTATTCAACAAAACTGTCGCAGCACTCACCTCAATCATACTCGCCCTAACCGCCTCCCTTGGTTCCCCCAACCCAACAGCCATATACTGCAGCATAGGAGGGTGTCCCACATAGGAAGAATAACTATCCCGCGCAATGTTGGAAGTCCATTCGAATTTTGATGTATCGGCGTGGCCTGTTCCGATGTACCGCGCTTGTAGTTGTTCTAGCTGTTGTTGTGCGCGTAGTTTGTCCGCCTAGTGGGTTGGGAGTCTGGGGTTAGTTATGGGATATAATGAGGGCATGGGGATTGAGTAGATGAGGGTGTGGGACTTACCATGATTGATGCTGATTTGGGGTTGATGCAGAGTTGGAAGTGAGGTTGCGGTTGTCATGGAAAAGGTGGAGATTTGCGGCGAGATAACGCCAAGCCGGAGGTAGATATTGAGAGAAAGCGTGAGGCCCCTCTCCTCTCCTCTTGTTTCTTCTGCAATCAGCAAAATACATTATACCACTGTTGGAATTTGATCCGGTATTGAAAACGTTTGCTTTGTTTTCCAATACTGGCAAGATCACTTCTTTGATTTCAGTTACGCAGTAACTATCAACATGCTCTGTATCGATATGTCTCCCAGCACGATCTGGTAGCGGACGCTCAAACGGCCTAACGCATGTCAATCTTGATATACTAGCCTTTGCTGTACTCGAACCATGGCATCTTCGATCCACCCAGCCAACATCACAGTCCCCATAATGACCCTCGCCCATGGGGACGCCTCACCCCAAATCTCAACCTTGACCTCGGACCCACCCCAACAACCACCACCACAACTACCGCACAACCCCTCCTTCGAAGACGAAATATCAACATCCCTCCTCTCCGCGCCTATAGTCCCCACCTCCACCTCCCTCTCCAACAACGAAGAAACACCTACCATCCCCCACATCCCACCGCACCAACTCCCCCTCCCCCTCTCCTCACCCCTCCGAACCTACCACCTCCCCCAAACGAACATCCACCTCACCCAAAAACTCGGTTCCATCTACGGTGGTCCCGGTCTCCCCCACCCAGCAATAATAGAAGCCGGTCAAAGATTGATAGAAGAAAATGGTTTTACAAGTCAGGAGCGATTGGAGGATTGGGTGCATAGGCGTATTGCAAGCTTGGTGAGGGAGGCGGAGAGGAGGGCTGAGGGGAGGGTGGATGCTAGGAGGGGGAATGAGAGGGTGAGGGAGGAGATTAGGGTGCTGGAGGGGGATTATGAGATGGAGCGGCGGGCTGTGGAGAGACGGTTGGGTGGGGGTGGGGTGAGGTAGTTTTGGTGTTCTCTTTTTAGTCTTTTGGATTTTTCCTGGGGATATTTTGGATATGTGGGTTGGGAGGAAGTTTGGGAGGAGATTTGGGATATATATCTTTTTACACGATTGTTGGGTTCAATACTCGGTTTCACCGTACACCAGTTAGGATGTTCGAGAACGATTGGTGCACGATGCCAGGAAAAGCAGAGGACAGATGCATCATCAAGCGTGTTCGAGACAGAAGAGACAGGGACTCAGAGGCAGAGGAAGGCTTTTGGGGTGAGAACGTTGATTTTATAGAGCAATTGGAATAAACCAACATAACCGATTTTAAACAACGGACTTACTGCTACGGGTACTTGCTACGCTTCCAAAGCACGGAAACGCAGAATTTTTTTTGCCCTCTTGGCCTACCTATTGGATTGTGAGCGTGCGATAGTTTGGTGGATGTGGCGGTTTAGTGAAGCTCTCTTCTAGGTAGCGGTCAATTTGGGACATCTTCCGATATAGTACATTTCTTATTCTTGACGCATCCAAGTTTTCACTTTCATGTTATTCTCATTGGCCCTTTCCCCTTAGAGAACCCCCTATCATGCTCCCGTAAAATATGCAGTTCTAAACCCATCCATATCCCAATGCAAAAAAATCCAAACCCAAACACCAATAGAGTGTCCTATTTCCCATTCCCCATTCTAACCCATCACACTCCCCTACTTCCCACCTTTCCCATCAATAAACTTCCAAGCCCCCTCCTCCAACCCCTTGGCCACACTCCCCGCCCTCCCCACAAACCCCCTCACCATCCCCATAACCCCCTCCTCCTCCCTCGCCTCCTGATGCGCACTCTCAAACCTAGCCCTATCCTGCGCCGTCCCATCCACCGCGTAGGGGTTTTGAACATACCCCGGAGGATGCTCTAGACTTCTCCTTTCGCTGCCTCCATCAGCACCTGCACCTGCACCTGCTTCCGCTGGGGAGAATTGAGCTAGTGGAGGGATGGATGGGTTGCGGGCGTATGATGTAGTAGTTGTGGTTGTGTGCGTGGGTGCGTAGTTGATATTTGGGGTTGGGATGGAGAATTGTGATGGTGGGGGGAGGGGTGTTGTATGGGTCGTTGTGTAAGTCGCTGTTATTGTTGAGGGGATTGCACCTGGTTGTGGTGGTGGAGGGGGGATTGACGACGTCGGTGCCGCAGCTGAAGATGTTGGTGGTGTTGGCCTTGCGCCTGGTTGAGGTGGTGGCGGCACACTAGGATCATGTGTAGTACTTGGAACTGCTGTTGTTGTTGTTGCGGTGGGAGCTGGATTGGGTTGCTTCACGTCTTGTTGCCCTCCTCCTACATCTGGAGCTGCCGTTTTTGGTGTCACTCCATCGGGGTGGAGTGGTGTGTTTGCGTAGACGGGAATGGGAGGCATCTTGACGGTTTTGTTGGAAGGATATAATTGAGACTCTTTCACAAATATCTGGGAAAGTGTAAAGAGGACACGCTGTAAATAGCAAACTGTGCAGCATGCAAGATGCGGTGCCTGGAATGCACCTGGCCATCGACAGGGTCCTACGTCACCAGCGGAATTTCACCGCAGCATTCTCGACGGGATCGAGCAAGGATAGTAATCTACTCCTCAGGTTGTTTTGAAAGCTGGATAACGCCCTAGGATTCTAAGCCATAAATCTTCTCCTGGCTGCATTAAACTTAATTCAGTATACTGACGACTCCCGGCCTTAAGTTGTACAGCTTCTATAGGAGCAGGTACAAACTCTTGATTACCTTTATCATGCTCTGGTGGATTCACATACTCCAGAACGCTAGGGTCTATCCTGCTTTCAAAAAACTTGAGGAGTATACTCGTACAGCACACACGGAATGAGTCATATCGTAGATCTCAGAGGCATATTATAACCATTACCATATACTACACAGTCCTGTTAATCCCCAGAGCAAATCAAACGCACCCCAAAATGCAACGCCGGGAACCCAATCCCTTTCCCCTAACAAGCCATCCAACCATCCTTGATTGGAAAAAAATTGCAGAAAAGCCTCCCATTTTGATTGAATGTGAAAAGGGTGGTGAGAAGGAAGAAGAAGGTGACATCAATGGATGATAACAAGGACAATTGTGAAAATAAAAATCAGAGTGCAGGACCATTGAATCATTTAGTCCTCATCGGTGGCCTCCTCCTCTGTCGACTGGCCATCCGCAATATCGTCCTCGACTGAGAAATCGGGGTCACGCTCCGTATCATCAGCGCGGTTCGCTTCTTCGACATCGGGCATGAACGTGTCCTCTTCCTGGGCTTTTGCGGGAGCAGAACTATCACCGCCAGCAGTTTCGGAGGGGGAACTCGTGCGAGTTGATAGAGGGCCAGAGTCGCGTCCGACCTTTTCCTGCTTCGTTTCCGCATCCTCCTCTTTGACAGACTCATCAGCCTCGTCAAGCGCTTGATCTTCAACATCTGATACCTCAGACTTAGCGTCAGTATCATTCTCACGGTCAACCTCAACCTTCCTCTCCTCATCTCCATCTTCATCTTCCTCTCCGGGAACTTCAGGACTCATAAAAGCATGCTCGGCATTCTTGACTGCATGAGCTACTTGCTCCCTCATATGACCTTCAGCTTTGGGCATAACGTAGCCTTCTGGCAGCTTGATACCTGTGATGACGGTCATATAATCTTTCTTGACATCCCTGAACACTTCATCTGTTTTGTCCGACATCTCGTTTTCCACCTCCAGGGTCATACTCTTGAGGGCTGCTCGAACGGTCTCGGTCGCATGTTTGAACACAGTGTTTGCGATCGAGCTAACATGGCCAGTCATGTGGGCTTTCATGCGCATATATGATCCTTTGCCTGAAATTGAGTCAGCACTTGTATTTTAAGCAGGACAGAATGAGCTTACCAGATTCATTCATACAAGCGTTGTAGACGGATAGCATCGCTGCAGCAATGACCGGCGTAAGTTCGCGGTTGGCTTCTCTTTGCTTCTCTGTAATGATCAGACTCAATTGATCGGTCAGATTGCTGAAATGAGCCTCTTGGGTGTCTAGCTTCTGTGCAAGAAGACGGAGTCCAACAACACCAACACCACGCTCACGCACACGATCCTCGATCTGTTTGTGGAATTGGCTCAGCATGCGAGTCATGTTTTCCGCAAAACGTTTAAGAACTTTAGGCATCGCCTTGGAGAAACATTTCTCCCATCCACTAACAAGAGGCGGTTTTTTCCTACTGCTGCTTCAACTCAATAAGCTTGTACTCTAGCGTCACGAAGTCCACTGCCTCTTCACCTCCATGAGCTTGTGTTTCAGCCTCACAAACCTGATGTCTGTCTATGATTGCTGGCGAGTCTCCTTAAATACTACCTCTCAGGGGTAGCTACACAGTGAAGCTAATACTAAGGCTCCCTTTTTGAACTGTGTAATAACGCATTCCTTCAATTCTCCGCCATAAAATAGTCCAGGCGGTCTAATGGCTAGACACGAAGAGAATATAATTCTTCTTCGAGAAGGTGGTTCGATTCCTCCCCTGGCAAGTAGCCTGCTTAGTCAAATGGCATGACATTCGAAAGCACTGTGCTCGTCGAAAAGTGATGGTTCGATTCCATCAGCGGGCATTTCTTTTTTTTTCCCTGGGTTTCCAATCAACGGACATGGTGGCCCGGATTTCGAGAGCATGGTCTTTATTTCGAGGAACCGAATCTTATTCAGAGTGCTGACAGCTCCTGGCGCAATTGCACCGTAAATCAATCGAGACCCTTCAGACTTGGTGGCTGGCAAATGATCTGAATTTGGTAATAATGATATACTGCAAAATAGACTCTGCTCGGAACCGACCCATTCAAAGAAAGATATGTACTTATAGTAAGCCGGTTTCTCATGATTCGACACACTAGGATTAAGACAGAGGCACCATTGAGACTGGACGAATTGACAGGAAATCCTTGATTTTGCAATAAACTATCGATGTTCTCATGTATAGAGGAGAAGAAGATGAAAAAACAGAGGCCCGATATGCAGCGCAAACCACAGACGTAGCCTCCATCACACGCCTATTTATCCTTGCCATTTTAAACACCATTGACCGCCAGGATAGTGTTTTGTGTGCCCGCTGTGGAGCTCGGATCTACATGATGTCCGAAGGGGTGCCAGAAGGGTGAGCAGACTATTTGCCCAGGCTTGGGAAGGCACTGGTGTCGTCGACATTGACGTTTGCGCTGGATGGGCCACGGCCACCGCGTCCTCTGAAGTCAGAGCGGTCACCACGATCACCACCTCGCCCACCTCTATCGCCTCCACGTCCACGCCCGCGCCCACGATATTCACCACGATCACCACCACGATCACCTCCGCGATCTCCTCGGTCTCCACGATCTCCACGATCTCCACGATCTCCACGATCTCCACGATCTCCACGATCTCCACGATCTCCACGATCTCCACGATCTCCACGATCTCCTCGGTCTCCTCGGTCTCCACGATCACCGCGATCTCCGCCACGGTCTCCGCGGCCACGTCCTCGGCCACCGCGTCCACCACCAGTGTCCTTCTCAGGCGCGAGGAATTTGTGAGGGTCGATACCGCTCAAGTCAACCTTGTTCTTTTCTTTAACAGTGCGCTCACGCAGTTTCTTGCCAGCACCACCTGTGACGAAGTCTTCTTCGACTTTGGTGAATGCTTTGCCCTCTGGGAATTTCTTGCTGGCACCCTCGTTCGGCTTGCGAATCTCAGTCGTGGCACCGAGTTGGAGCTTCTTCTCGGCCTGTTCTGCTAGGTAGTCGTCGAGACTCTTGGTCTGGATCTCAGGTTCAGTTGGTTCAGCTGCTTCGCCATCGGCTTCGCCAGTGGCTGCTGGAGCCCAGGCCTCTCCGTCTGCGTTAACTGGTGGGGGGACAGATGTGTCGAAACCTTCCTTCTCTTCTTCTTTGGCGATTTCTTCACCAGCCTTCTCGTCATTTAATTCAGCATTGCCAGACTTGTAGCCCCATCCGTGTCCGGCTTGCTTGTCGTGCTCGCTAGATAGCCGTCAGGATGTGTGAGATGGAAAAAGATGAAAGTAAAATGGTACGTACCCAACGCCAGAGTGACTATGACGATCATCACGTCCACCACGGCCTCCGCCACCACCGCGTGCACGGTCTCCACGGCCACGTCCACGTCCGCGACCACGATCTCCGCCACGGTCTCCACCGCGCTCGCCTTCTTGAGGTGGGTTGGCACGGTTTTGATAGCTTCCGCCCTCGCGGTATGCTGTATCACATGTAAGCAAGTGCCATCCCAAATCTGAAAGGCGTGATGCAATCGCAATGTCGGAATTGTGCCAGCGCATAACAATGATAATCACGTACCTCGTTCGTTACCAGCAAAATTGTCCCCTCCACGACCACCACGACCACCGCCGCGACCTCCACGAGAAGCAGGAGGAGCAGCTGCAGTTGCAGGTGCTTCGGAGCCTGCGTTGCGCTTACCAATGCGTGGAGCTGGCTTGTCAACCGTCTTCACAGGTGGATCAGGTGCACGATCTGGGTCGAGCTCCGGGTCATTGCCTATGATAAGAATTAGTTTGCGATGCCATCACGAGGCGAAGTACAGAGTTGTAATAGCATACCCAGCAAGTCGAAAAGGTTCTACAAAGTATGCTTGATCAGTGACAGTTACGATGAGAATTAAAGGTACAAATGCATGCGTACCTTGGATGCGATGCTGGCCATGTTGACCAATTATTATCAGCGCTCCCGCGCTTTTCCTGCTAGACACACAATCCGGTGGGGAAGGAAAGTGTAGATGGAGAGTCGGTCCTTGAATGAGGACCTGAACTCTCACTAATTGTTAGGAGAAAATGTCGCACGAAGAGTTGGTGGTGATGCAATGTGATCAAGACGATGATTGTGTGGAGTAGAAGTCGTCCCTAGATTTGTGGTTTTTGAAAATGCCAAGACCCCTCAATTGTTTGTGGGCTTTTTGGGCGTGATCGGCGACTTACGTCGGTTAACTCACCGAAACCTCTTCTTTTCAAAATCATCACCAAGAGTAGTTGAACAAACGTCAGAAAGCAGAACAGTTGACATTATATATTGCAGCAAGTCAGCCAAATGACGCTGGCCGCATAAAGAGACCAGATTGAGCCTCGCGCAACAGTATTCACAGTCATTATCTATAGACGAAGCTCTGGCTTGCATACCCCGCCATGAAGAAGACACTCTCCCAGAATAATGTAATCCCAGTGCGGTTGATCGGATCATCAGAGCGATGTCCACCAAGCCCTGAACTGGCCCTCTGATTAAGTTTACAGCATTTTTCGCTTATTGCTCAGGTTTAATGACCGAAGCTCACGTTGCAAAACTCCATTACTCCCAGGCCCCGAATTTTCCTTGGTATCATCGAACCACCAGATATACATTTTGACGCCTGCCTAGGATGAGCGGTGAAAGATCATCAAGTCGTAATAATGAAAGAATTGAATTACAGTATGCACAATGTTGGCGCTATTACACTCTCATCGTGTGGGAGCATCGAACTGAAACTGCGTTGGGAAATGCATGCTTGCGGAGAGCCCAAACGGATCCGCGTCCAGCATAGGATCGTAGGGGTTGAACATGTGGTTCATGGAGCCAAACTGGCCATTGGTATCTGGTGCATGTATTTGAGAAGGTTGCGCTTGGAGAGCTTGGTTTGGGCCATTGCTCGGCATGTGTGGAGGTTGAGGTTGCGGCATACCATTCGGAGGCATGCCCCCGTTCGCAAAGGGAGGAGGGAAAGGACCTGGCGCGGCAGAAGCTTCGGTTGAGTCTTCTTGATCGACCATATCATCTTGAGCATCATACTCCTGTTCTATCACCCACATAATTAGCCTACAGTGATCGTGTAGGTAGCTCTGGCGGAGTGATTCAATCATAGATTATAACCATGGATGACAACTTACCAAGCTGATCATAATGATTTTGAAATTGCACCTGATAAAATGCAGCCGCACCAGCGCTTGCCGCTGCGTTTCCATTCATCCCATTCGCACTCACCAACGGCGAGCTATTGGGTGGATATACTCCAGCACCCACTGGCCGCTGCGGAGCGGCAAATTGCGGTCTTTGAGGTTGGGGTCGTAGCTGAGGCGGTTGGGAACTCTGAAGTCCAAAGGCCGGTGAAACTTGGCCGCTCTGGGGCAAGAAGTTGGGTGATTTCGTAGCCGTTGTGGCAGGAGAGGATATATGAGAAGTTGATGTGGGTTGTAATTGCGGAGACATACAGATGGGTTGGATTTGTTGAACACCATCCGCTTTGGAAGGCAGGCCTGAAAGTGAACGTCGGTTTTGGACGGCGAATTTGTTCACTGCAAAGCGTTGAATTGGCTGTGAGATGGGGGCGGAAACTGGCATTCGAATTGGGCCAAGATTGGGACTGCCTCCCTTTTGCCTCAACTCTGCCTGTACATCAATGTCTATGTTTCAGACCATCAGTGATCTGGACCCAAGATTTATCCACACAATGTGCATACCTTTTTCCAGTAGTATCCTTTCCAAAAGAGAGTTCTTGTATCTGAGCATAAGACATTCATCCGCAGCGCTACGATGACTCTGCTGTAAATTCTGTAACGTCTCTTCGTGGAGCTTAATTGTACTCTCTAATTGTTTTATGTATTCTGTACGTCGTTCCCTAAACGCAGCCTGAGCCTGTCGGTTCCTCTGCTTCCGCTCCTCGGAAGTTGCGTATATCTTCGTACTATAAGTTAGCGCTGTGAGATAGACTAGACACATGGTGGAGGAAGTATTCGGTTCTAATTACAAAAGAACAATAGCTAGGATGTGACTTACAGGTTTACGTCCACCTTTTCGTTTCTGCTGCTGCTGCTGCTCTGGATTGTGTGGGAGGTCTTGCTCGTGGGCATCTTCATGTTCAGGTGTGGAGGCTAGGGAGCTGGAGCCAGACCGGTCGCCAACAGCATGAGCATCTTCCACTTTACCCACAAGAGGTGAATTCATGTTCGAAGCGGCAATGTCTCCCATCTGCAGGTACCCACCCCTCCTGTGCCCCTTCTAGAAGCAGAGACAATAGCAGCCGCCAAAACAGTAGACAGAGGCGGCAGAAACAATAGCATGCAAGCTACACAACGGATAGGAGCGCGGTTGGTAATCTAGTCCCGGCCTGTCGGGTCGTATCTATGGATGGGTTTGTAGTCTATTCTGATAATTGGGCAGATAACGTCGAGTCGAAGGGAGAAAATAATAGGTAAGCCGTTGGGTAATGGAAACACAGCAGAGGGAAAACTGAGCGCGCGCGGAAACCCATAAAAGAGTTCTGGACGTCACAGGGCCCGGCTGTAGGCGCCTTTCCGTCTTTGCTTGGCGATTTTACGAATATGCACAGGCAAAGCTGATGTGGGGTTAGGGGCAGTCGGCGAGCCAGACAATTAAATTTAGCAAACTGAAAAAGAGCCGGCCGATGAAAACTTGAGCAACACATGGCTTGATTGGGTTTGTGAGTAGGATGAGTCCGCCCGTGACCTAGGGCAAAATCGTTTACGAAATTTTCTTCGCAGGCTCCGCTTCTAGGCTGAACGGCTGTAAAGTCTCCCGTTCGCCCTCCTTCTCGCTGCTTGCTGCTGGTGTCATTGGTACGTTCT